CTGGATGTAAAAATCTCACAAAAACGTCATTTTTAGACTTATCGCAAATTTTGTGCAATAATTTTAAACTCGTCTGCAATTCCTGTATTTAAAAAATCTTAAAAAAAAAATTCTATTTCGCAAATTCCAGGGATCCACAATTTATTTGCAAACCTGGCACAAAAATCCTCAAAAAATCCCACAAATCCGACTAAAACCATTTCATCGATCGATTCTGGAGTCAGGATTCCATAAATTTTTAATGCGACCGACAACGAAGACAATGGAACAACTTTTTTAGTTCCTGATGTCCCACACGCAACTCAGACTGACTGAGATTCCAGTTAAAATAAATAAAAAATTGCACGCGATGCGACGAGAAAACCTAATTTACCAACCTTGACATGTCGTCGTCGTCTTCTTTTTCGGGACAAATTAATCCGAAAAGTAATCCGAATTAATTTATAACGGACCAGTCAGTCGTGGTCTTTCGGAGAATCTGCATCAGTGTTGTTCCTTCTATTTTGTGTTCCTTAAAAAATGAAAATTTGCCATTGTTCTTGGCGAGTTTTAGCCACTGTGATTCTACTTTTGTTAAGTTTCTGGTCCCCTTTCAGTTCCGGACAGCAAGATGAAATTCCCGTGGAACAGTTTCAGTATAAAAATATTGTGCTGGGTAAGAAGAAACTTGTTAATCTTGTGTTTTACTACTTCCGGTCTGGTAAATTTTAAAAGTGCCATCTTTACAAGATTTGTGGCACGATTAATTCACTAAAAAAATTATACCCCAGTCGAAAAATTATGTATACACTTTTTGTTTCATTTTACCTCTTAGTTTGCAAAGTTTACACAATTGAAAAATAAATTCCTTTCAATTCTCTCAAAATTTTATTGCCAAAGAATATAATTTTAAAAAACACAATTTTTTATCTGATTTTCCCTCAATTTACAAAATTTACACAGCTAAAAAAATTACCTTATCATATTTATCTCACAATTTATCAAATAATCCTGAAGTCCCAAAATTACTTACTTTTTGTTTAAAATCTTCCCTGATTTACAGGATTTACGAATTTCAAATATTCACGTCAATGGTTTTACAATTAAGTGATTAACTACACTACAAAAATCATACACCTATTTTTTTTACACTTTTTTGTATAATTTTGATACCAGGTTCTTGAATTTTTATGTTTACAGTATACTATAAAGACTTAAGATTCAGCGTTGGACTGGACATATAAAGTCTCATCTTACCTCCTTATTTGCACAGTTTACACAATTGCAAAAAAAAATCTTGTCAAGTTTGTCACAATTTATTAACTTCAGCCCAAAAACCATATACTTTTCTCTCATTTTACCTCAAGCGTCCTTTCTTTGCACAGTTTGCGCATTAAAAAATTGTGACAATTGTCTCACAATTAAGTCCAAAAATGATTCAATTCTCGTCTCCTTTTACCCCACATGCGTCCTAATTTACACGGTTTACGCAATTCCAAAAAATTCAGGCCAATTGTCTAACAACTACGCCTAAAAGCATACAATTGTCTCCTTTTACCCCTCATGCGTCTTAATTACACAGTTTATGCAATTGCAAAAAATTAAACTCGTCAACTTTCTCACAATTAAACCCAACTCAAAACAAAATCCTCGTCTCATTTTCCCCTCACAGGCGTGCTTATCGACACCTCGTCCATCTCCATCCTGGACAAGCCGGGTTATCAGGCCGACCTCATCGCCATGATAAACGCGACCATTACCGCCCTCAATAACGGGACGTACAACCCGACACACACGGCGGGGACGCGTCGCCTCCCGCCGATCAACCTGGCCACGCCGTCCGGCAGCGTGGGGAACATTGGGGGGACGCTGAACGTGACGAAGGTCTCGACCGTCGGGCTGCACGTGATGGAGGACATTTACGACATCCTCGAAAACGTGCCGGAAATGGGGGCGCTATTCACCATGCTCAACTGTAAAGATTCGCATTATATGAATACCAAGATTACGTCGCAGTACGGCCCCATCGTCCATGTCGCGGTCACTGGTGAGTTAGCATGGGGGGTACAAAATGGGTATTTTTGGATTTTTGAACTTTTGTACATTTGCGTATTTTTAGATTTTTTTTATTTTGTTAACTTTGGTATATCTTTGTACATTTTTTGATTTTTGCATTCTTGGAGATTTGTACATTTGTTTATTTTTATATTTGTTTATCAAATTTTACATTTGTTTATCATATTATTTTATGATTTTTTGGATTTTTGGACTTTTGTACATTTGTTTATTTTTGGATTCTTGTATTTTGGTTCATTTTTTTCTACATTTTTGTATACTTTTGAAAATATCTTTTTGTATGTTTTTGCATTTTTGCGCATTGTTGAACTTAAATTTTGTATAACTTTTGCGTTTTTGTATAACTTTGACACCAAATTCTTGAATTTGAAGTATTTCTACTCCTGATAATATTTTTGTTCAGATGATGAGTAATGTTGATATTAATTACATATCTTAAATTTTACATATCTTAAATAAATTTCTCATAAATTTAAATTTTAAAATTTCAAAAATTTATTTCAGAAATTTCAGAAATTAGAAATTTATTTAAATTTTAAACATTTCAGAACCGGGTTGCACCCGCCTCTCATCGACCTCCGCGATAACCGTCCCGCTCACCTCGTCCTCCCGAAATGCGGACCTACTCCAGCTCTTGGTGGACGTTCGTGGCGAAAAAGTCCTCCCCGGATGGAAAGAGGTGAGCTTTTTTATTTAAAAAATTCACATTTTATAGAAATCTTTCACTCTTTACCGTAGGACTCGTAGGACTCAAAATTCGCACATTTTTAATCATTTCTCGCCTCTGAGAATTTATTTTAAAATTCTGAACGGCAAATTTGTAGAGGGGAGAAGAGTTACCAATTTAGGGTAAGGAAAACCCCGGGGTTTTGCTATTGAAAACCCATACCCCGGGGTTTTGCGGGTAGTCGGGGTAGTCGGGGTTTTGGGGGCAAACTGAGTCAGTGTCTCATGTATTAAATTCAGAAATTAATGAAAAAAATCAATTTTTCAGTAATTTCGCAACAAAACTGCTTATTAATTATATTTTAATAAGTAAATAATTTGTTGAATTGCTAGTAATGCGCTGTTATCATATTTTGTAAAATTTGAAAACCCCGACTACCCCGACTACCCGTGGGTATTGCTCAAATTTGCTACCCCAAAACCCACCAAAACCCGCAATACCCCAATACCCCAAAAACTCGGGGTAGCATACCCTGGATCTCATGGTTAAGAAGCCTTCAGAAAAATTGGAACTCATCGAAGCTGGCTCAAAATATAGAGAAAACTAGCACATTTTTAATCATTTCTCGCCTCTGGAAATTTATTTTAAAATTCTGGACGACAAATTTGCCGTCAATGAGTTGATTGAGGGAATGGCGTCGAGTTTTTTGAGCCAGTTTCGACGAGTTCCAATTTTTCTGAAGGTTTCTTAAACTTGAGATCTCGTCCTTCAAAAAGTGTCAAAATCTGGAATTTACACTTTATAACAATTGGCAACGACACACATTTGCTATACACAAGATTAAACTATATTCCTAGAGCTGAGAAATGATTAAAAGTGTGTCGATTTTGACCATTTTGACCACGAGTCATCGAGTTCAATAACTTTAAATTTCTAAAATTCATTACAGGCCATCATCATCAACGATGTGGAAGCGGGTGACGAAATAATTGACGTTTTTGGTCTCGGATTTTCCACTCATTCCGAACACCTTACCACCATTACGCAAACTATTTATAATGTAAGACGTTTTTAAAATTGGGGAATTTTACAAAATTTCCAAATTTCTGATTGCATATTTTGAACTTTGCAAATCAAATTATTTACAAATTATGTAAATTATCTTACATAAAGTTTTATTCTTCTTGAGGAAAGTTTAATTTTGTTACTGGCTTTAAAATCCTCATTTTTAATTCTTTATGATTCTGATGTTTGATTTTTTGAATTTTTATTTATTTTTTATTATTTTGAAATCTCTAAGCTTCATTTAGAATATCTCATAATTTCTGAAAATACAAAATTTCCAACTTGAAATTAAAAAAACTTATATAGGTAATTTTCTCACACATGAAAATTATCTAGCTTAACAAAATTTGAATTTTGAGAAAAAATTATGTTTGTAACTGGCGCTGAAATTCAATTCTAAAATTAACTCTGATTTTGAAAAATGTTTTGTAACAACAAATTAGTGTTTTACATATATGTCAATAATATTTTCATTTTTGACAATTCTGAAAATTTTGAAAACTTCGAGCTTATTTCGAATATTTTCTAATTTCTGAAAGTACAAAGACACTGTGTTATTTTAGGCGGAATAACCGAACAATATTTTAATAACTAGCTTTAAATCATGCAATTTTCCAGACTTTCAAAATTTGGATTTTTAAAAACATATTATGGGGAATTTTCTCACACATGGAAATTACCTTACTTGTTAGCATTTTAATTTTGAGGAAAACTTATTTTGATAATTTGAAAATTTTGGAAACATTAAACTTGATTTCGAATATTTTTCCGTACATCATGCAATTTTAAAATCTTTCGAAATTGCCATTTAAAAAAATTAATTGCTGGGTTAAAAATAATCTATTTTAATATTTAATTCTTGAGAAAAGTTTATGTTTGCAATTGACTTTAACCTCTTCAGGGCTACATTTATTGTCCCTAACTTTTCCCAGAGACTGCGAAGCTATTCATTGGCGTTACTACGGGGGCGCCAGTGATAATTTTGAGGGGCATAATTAAAAATATGATAAAGTCCTAAGAGACGACGTTTTTTTTTAAAAAAAAATACATTAACATAAATGCAGTGTTTTTATGTATGCAGTGGTGATGAATGAGCAAAATCTTAAAGAGTTTAAATATTTCTATAATTATTCAGTTTCCTCTTTCCTCGCAAATTGACTAACAATTTTGTTTCAAACACAAATCACCAAACAAATGAAAAAAATTGCAAACATCTAATTATTTTGATTAACGCGAAATTGAGACGAATTCAAATCAACATCATGCAACGTTAGAAAATCGGGTGTATCTAATTCGTATGGCGGAAGGGAGGGCAATAGAGGATCAGCCCGTGCTTGTGAATTTTTCTTTGGAAGATGTCGTTCAGTGTGATATTTTTTGAAGCAAGAAAGCTTTCCTGTAACACACAGCCAATTTTCACATGTTCCACAACGATACGATGTTGTCTTCTGAACACATTCAGCAGCACAATACGCACATTTTCCTGGAACCTTTTAGAGTTTGTTCCGAAAAGTGTGAACCCTGAAGTCTTAACTCTTCGGAGAGGCGTAAAAGGGGTCGTCCGACATGAGACGGATCAGTTGGGAACTGTTGAAGAATTTCTTTTACGAGTGACTCCACAAATTGCTTGTATCTTCGCTTGGAATTTGGGTGAATAATTTTGTACGCTCTGAAACTATTATACACCGCATGGTCCCAGAGATGGAAGAACACTTTTTTGTACCACTTAATGGTCTTCCTAATGGACTTGTTCGGCTTCGTCACCTTGTCCATGTCGTCAACTCCTCCCATTTTCGAAGTGTAGAGCAGAACGGTGTTAGGTTTATTCCGTGTGTTGAATGGATTAGTTGAAAGCTTCTCAGTCATTGCATGTCCCATGAATGAATTTATCATACAAACCTCTCGTCTGTCTTCCCACCTAGAAATATAATTATTTTATTACTAATTTTTCTTTATTAGAAATAAAAAATAAATATTTACGGAGGTTTGTATTACCGTTCAATAAGAATATCACCGTTAGTCCAGCTCTCAACATTTCCTTTCCTAAGTTTCGTTCGCATCTGTTTCTTTGCATCTTCACATCACCTTGACTGAACAGTCCCAAGGTAATATGTATCATTTTTCAACAATTCTGCAACTAGCTTGGAGTGGAAAACCAATTGTCAGCCACAACACGGTGGGATTTATTAAGATATCCATCCTGCAGCAAATATTGTGTTTTTGCCCTGATATGGAAGCAGAGCTAGGACTGCCTTTGTTGCACAATCCACCAAGATGTAGAACTTGACGCCGAATCTTGCCCTCTTGGAGGGTACGTACTGTTTGAAACTCAGTCGTCCCTTGAACGGCATCAAACTCTCATCTATGTAGAGATATTCCCCCGGAATCACAAAATTTTTGAACTTCGACATCAACGATGGGAAGAACGAGCCGAGCTTGATAAATCGATCAATATTTCCCGTGGGTATATTTCCATCGTTTTGGAAGTGAAGTGCCCTCATTATATCTGTGAAACTAAAATTATCAAATGCAATAATTATCATTGTCTAACACCACGTATGCATAAAATGTATGCATCTACTAACCGATCTCTGCTCATGGTTTTACCAAAAATTGGGGTTGATATTAGTTCATCCGTGCTCCAATAATCCTTCACATCTCCTTTTTTCACAATTCCCATCAGTGTTGATAGACCCATGAATTTCCAAAACTCCTGACGGCTTAGTGGTGTCCACCTCTTCAATGCTTTTGGGAATTTGGCTTTGATGACGGGCGTATAATCGTTCGATTCGAGACAAATTGTATCCACCATGTCGTCGTCGATAAACATTCGAAGCAGTTGAAATGGTGTAGAATCTGAGTCAGCATTGAATGATCGATGAAACCTTCCTAGTGGGGGCACAAACTGCGTTGGTCTAGGGTGGAAATTGGTTCCATCTCCCCACGTCGAATTTATCGTGGAATGGATAACCACTGGAGTTGGGACGACTTGTGACCGCGATGTTGTGCGTCGCCGAATTCTTGAGATTGGGGACTCTTGCTGTAAAATATAATGCTTGCTATGCATGATCAGAATAATACATTTAAAATATTCAAATACATTTGCAGCATTATCTCATTGTGCAAAATAAAGTGTCGCAAACTGCCTCTTAAGTTTTGGGGTTGATCAAGGTTTATTTGAAAGGATCTCACACACACACGCTCCACAGAACGACTAAACTATTCCTGTCCACACAGGATGGGTAAGTCTAAAAATGATGATTAACCTAAAGTGCCAATTTGGCAAAACGATTGTACACAATTCAATGGACTTTAAGATTAAGACATTTAATTAAGCACTCATTGAATGAAGCACTGTTATTTAATTATGCACACTACTTAGGTACTAGTGGTGGTCATTTAAAGATAACTAAAAATGCTGCCTCAGCACAAAACCATCTCGTCTTAAATAACTCATGTTATAACTGGAGAGCTGGAGAGCTCTCCCTCACGCAACCATTACACGACGATATTATTATGTGTGTTTCACATTCAACTTGCGTCCAAATATGGGTTATACATTCATTAAATTGGGTCGCTGATTAAAGATGAAATTGTGTCCTAACAATATGTTTGGAATTTTCGCCAAAACAAAGTAAGAAGCAGGAAAAAAAATATTATTTTCAATTTGCGATTGAAAATATGGTGATGCAACAAAAGTCGATCGTCGTCTCCAGGACATTTTTTGAGGAATCGACTAGACCGTCGTCTCACGGGGATGTTTTAATTTAGAGACAAAAGTCGCCTTTAGTCTCCATGGGACAATTTTAAAAGTCGACAATAGTAGCATGCCATCTCTCAGGGATTTAAAACAATGCAACTATAGTAGCCTTTAGCCCTAAAGAGGTTAAACTCATACAATCCAAAGATGTACTATTAATTGAAAAATCTTATAATTCAATAACAGTGGAATTTTGAGAACTTTAAGCTTTATTCTAAATATTTTTTTCTTTTATGAAAATATATCAACAATTCCCAATTTGGGATATTTATAAACTAATTGCGAAATTTTTTCACAAATGAATATTAATTTATATATCTTGTTTATTTAACACTTAAATTTAAGATAGATTTATTTTTATAACTGGCTTTAAAATCATTCTAAAATGTATTGTGATTTTGAATAATATTCCTTTATCATATTTGATTTTTTAAAATTTTCAAAACTTTAAGTTTTATTTTGAATATTTTTTTAATTACGGAAAATACAACAAAATTTCGAAGTTGTGGTTTTAAAAAACGTATTTCGGGAATTTTCTCACGTATGAAAATTATCTAGTTTAATAACATTTATATTTTGAGAAAAGCATATTTTTCCAACTGGCTTTAAAATCTACATTAATGTAGATTTTCAAAATTTTAAAAATCAAAAAGTATTGTACTTTTTTTTTTAATTAAAAAAAATTATTGTGATTTTGCAAACTCCAATATTACAATACTCTTTGATTTTTAAAATTTTGAAAATTTCAAACTTTATTTTGAATATCTTACAATTTTTGAAAATACATCAAGGAAACTGAATCTTAGGCGCATTGGATTAGTTTAACGACAAAATTATATTTTTTAATTAGCTACAAAGTCATGCAATTAAAATAACACTATTTAAAAGCACCTTAAATTTAGCTTTTAATTTTATTTGAACATTTTAAATTCATACTTGATTTAAAAAAAAATAAAAATTTCAAATTTTATTTTAAATATTTTTTTTTAAATCAGGTGGATTCGATGAGTTTAACGACCGAATTCTCCGTCCAGATTGAACACGTTTTAGCAAAATATCAAAAATCCTCGCCCGGAAATTACATATGTATTACAAAGTCAACAAATGTAAATCGTGTTTTAGAAGCGGTAAGGATAATTTTATTCACTTTCAGTCAGTGAAATAGATTAATGAATTTTTTTGTGGGATTATGGATTAATGTTATTCCAGGATTAGATTAATCCAGGCTTAATTAAATAATTCAATTTGCTGGGATTAATGATTAACCAACAATGCTCTTGAATTCAGGATTAATAATTAGGATTAATTAATCCTTATTAATTCTTGATTAGGGATTAATTAATTGATTAGGGACTAATTAATCCTGATTAATTCGTGATTAGGGATTAATTAATCCTGATTAATTTTTGATTAAGGATTAATAATTTAACCTCGCTTCTTCGGGATTATGCATTAAGGATTAGTAATTCTTAATCTTTAATCATAATTCGCAATCCATTAATCACGATTAATTAATCTCGGATCTCTCCTTCCGGTTCATTTGCATAATTAATAAATTACCAGGCTTCCCGCACGGGGATGTTATCCATCATGAAACAGTGGATTTTCGTATCGCCGGACCCCCTCGACCCAGAATTTAGTTGGGATTACATCGAAACCAAAATCATCGATGACGGCGTCAATGTTGGCTTCATCATGAATTCTTCGATCCCGTCGATAAGCAGCGTGTCGGTAAGGTCCCATACCATCACCGATAACCATTTAATTCTCACTCTTAAAAAATCGTCGAAATTTCTTTCCTTTCACACCGTTTTTTTAAAATTCGTCCCAATGTTCCCACTATTTTTTTTTAAATCATAAAAATCTCTCAAATTTCACCCATTTTTCAAAGGAATTAACAAAATTCTCAATTCTCACTCATTTTTAAAACTCGTCAAAAATTATTTCAATTGTCCCTGATTTTTCAAAATTCATAAAAATTTATAAATTCTCACTCATTTTTTTAATTCTTCCAAATTTCTCACATTTCTCACTCGTTTTATTTTCAAAATTGGCCAAAATTTCTCAATTTTTCGTTCAAATTTTTCACATTTCTCACTCTATTAAAAAAATCTGTCCTTTCTCTCAATTCTCAACAATTTCCTGAAAAACTATCCATAAATTTCTCAGTTCTTACCAATTTTCAAAAAAGTTTGAAAATTTCTTAATTATCCATCATTTTTAAAAATTCATCCAAATTTCTCAAAATTTTCGCTCATTTCTTGACTCCTTAGACGAGCACGCACCTCTACTGCGACACCGAATCGCTTATCGTCCTTCTCGCTGACGTCATCGAGTCCCTCGCCCTCTGGGAGTTTGACCTCTACCTTCAAGTCTCCAATGAAGAATGGGACATCATCAAACCCACTCGGGTGACTAAATAATTCATTTCAAAATTTCGAAAAATTTCATACACAATTTTTTTTACCTAATTTAATTTCGTTTAGGTCGACCGAGTCGTCAATATTACCGGCACGATGACGGAACAACTCAGGTAATAAAAAGATTCGGATTTTGGAATAACATATATTTTTTCACATTTTTTGTATAATTTTGATATCAGGTTCTCGAATTTTTATGTTTACAGTATATTGTAAAGATTTTAGATTCGGTATAAATTATTTTTTGTACACTTCTTTCCATAATTTTGACACTCAGATCACGAATTTGCAAATTTGCTGGACAATTTATTACTCACAATTTAACCTTTTTTCAAGCTACACCGGGACTTTGCAACGAGTTATATCAAAAATCGAGCCAAAAATTCGGAATCACATGACGCTTATCCCTCCATTAAATGGCCCTTTGAAGAAAAATATTGGGGGCCAAAGTTCCCACGAGCGACTTGGTTTTCGCCTCGTGGAGGAAAAATTTACTCAAAAAATGAACTTTGCCACCAATATTTTTCTTCCAAGATTTAGTTCTTTGAATTCTTTTCTTCAATTTTTCATTCAACGGAAAGATAAGCGTCACGTGATTCCTAATATTTGGCTCGATTTTTTTTATACAAGTCGCTACACGCTTAAAAAAGGTTGAATTATTGTCAGATTTCAGGTTCTCAATCTATTTATTTTGGTTTGGAACAAAATAAGTAAAATAAAACGTAAACTTTTTTGTCCACATTTTATATATATATTTTGACACAAAATTCTTCAAATTTTTAAATCTGCTTGATATTGTATTGTTTGGATTTTAGGTTCTTAAGCAGTTTTATTTTACGACAAAATAAACTCAAAATATTGTTTTTACTATAAGTTAGACACCAATTTCTCGATTT